GTTTTCTTTGATTAAGGAGCCAATCACATTTGAAAAGGCATATCAAAAAGCAATTTATCAATCAGTATGTGAACTTGAATATCACATTGCAAGCACAATCCTTTCACTTGAACAAACACTAGGTGACGTTTTCATTTACTGGACTGAATGGGTACTTCAAAATACCTTGGAAGAGTAAGTAATGAACACATCTCTGTCGACCTGCTTATCATGTGGATTGTGATAAATATTGTTTTTTTTCCTCATTCATATTAGTCAGTAAGTATCATTTTATGTCAGTTCAATGTTTCATTAAGTGACAAGATCCACATGATAGCAATGACTGGCAAATTTTGTGCTCTAGTATTAATGCAAAGAACAGTCTTAACTTTAATCTTATTTCTCGTAAAAAAACAAAATATTTCCATCAATTCATCTTCACTATTTTAGAAGGTCACAAAAGTCATTTATTTCTATTTCCACTAAAACTGTGACTATTCATTTTCTTTATTTTTCATGAATGATGCCAAGCAGTTGAAGCTGACAGAGAGACCAGCAATGTGTAAAGTGACTGGGGTGCAATTCAACATCTCTGGTCTCAGCCAATGAACTTCACATGGTCTGGAACAGCCGGTGCAAATGTTTGTCTCCCTGTCAATTTCCAAGAAAAATAGACACTCATTTCTTTACCATTTTCTAGCTTGAAATGAGCAGAAATTGGTAAATTGCCTTAATTTCTGGAGCCCGACTCCACGAAACCCATTACTGTGCTGTGATGGAAATAAGGCAATCCACCGCCACTTATCTAGATTCATTAGTTTTTATATCCATCATGCAATGTATGCCACTCTAGGCATGTCAGTTATCACCTTATTCTGAGCTGGCCCCATGATGCACCTTCCTATCATTCACTCATTTAACACCCCACACTTCATATGTCACATTTCTACTATAGAGCCTATCAACAATTGATACATCCAAAGAAACCAATCACCACACACTCTCCAAACTGTTAAATGTATCTGTCATTTCCATCATGGTAATCAGTCCCTTTCTGTGAACAATCAACTGGTTAATGTTTTTTATGAAGCTATTAATCAGAAAGGCAATTAATGAGTAAAAGGCAAAATGACCTACTCTATTAATCTTCTAACAATGGGACACTGGTTATTACACACTGGACATCATATCCAGATCCACAATGACATTTATTAAATAGAAAAGTTTACTGATTGAGTTTACATCTCAATTAGTAGAGGTCATCCACTTAATGCAATCAATCTAGAATATTGAAACTACTCGGATCCCAACGCACAACTGAATGCTCTTTCCAAAACTGGACATTTATCGAGACAGTTTCTTAAAAACATTAAAGAATTCACTTTTTTTCTGTTGCTTCTAAAGACAGAATGTAAAACTAATGTACTTTAGCACTTAGCCAAGACCCAAGACGCCAGGATGTAACACTACGTGCTATTTTATCATAAAGAAGTCATTTGAAATGTTACTGAAAGAACCCACTGAGTTCTTTAAATAAAATTCCCCAGCCACCTTCCTTTCTTGTTTTATAAGATCATAAAAAGTTTTTGATTTGAAAGATCCACCGCATTATTGCAGTGCATAGTGTTAAAAGGGCCTAAAAGTAGTTCTTTTCTTTCTGATCCATCAATGTCAAATGTAAGCTAATGTTTTAGCGTGAAAAAAATTGGAAAAAATCCATGGTTCTTAGGATTTATTAGGTTTAAAGATATAGAAGAAAATCTATTTATACAAATAAATGTCAAGATATCCTTGAAGCAAGAAAACAAACAGAACAATTTGCATTACAAAAATAGAAACTATATCAAGTGGTACTATCAAGGCTGATAGCAAGGTAAGAAAGGCCATGAAACCACAGGGCATTGACCGAAAAACTTCCATCATAGGAGAACCAAGAAAATAACCCCCCCTTTTTTTCTCCTAATCAGCAATAATAATAAAATATAATATCAAACATGATCAATGTTCTTCAGCCAACGCAAATTACTTTAGCCTTTTGTAAAACTCTTTCATGACAGCTTGAGGCAAATCTTCCTGTCCACAGCCACTTAAGCATGGTCACAAGATAGTACAGAGTGGAAAGGCGGCAGGTTGATGACACACTATAGTAAGGATTACAAATGCTTACATATCATCCTTGCTTAACAGATTATTTTAAGATGTTCATCAATTTTTGGTGATCAAAGACGACCATAGGGACAAAAAGAAATGTCCTCACTGCTATCATTTTAATTTCCATTACAGTTATCAGATGGTTAGACTCCAGAGAAAGTATATTTTATTCATGAAATCATCAAACCACACAGAAACTGCTGTATTCCCTGGAGAACAAAAACTGTAAAACACATTATTAAAACACACTGCATCATTCAAGCAACATCAATCTATATTACTCACAAACTGGATTCATTTAAAATCCCTAGAGAACACCCCAAAAAAGAGCTCTTTGAATTATATACCCTGAACTCACATATGATGAAGCAATGAACAGTACCTGATTGCCCACCTTGAAATCTTAAAGTACTAATTTGTGTAAAAAATGTTTTGTGAGATAAAATTATCTACCGTGCTATTGAATTTCATGACAGTTATATTTTTCCTTAATGTAGAACTAAACGGTATAGGAACACTTTTACACCATGCTGCCCATACATACATACATACATACTACATTCTTCATACTGCCAATTACTGTTAACTTTGAGAATATTTAATGATAATATTTAATGCAGCTTACGGTAATGTGCCAAGCATTTCGACGGGCCCAGTCAATCCGACCAAAAAAATTATATTATAAAATTAATTTTTCTGGGCTCAAACATTTAGTCCACATGTCAAAATCATGCGACAGAATTTTTTTCTTGTTCCGATTGTTCGACCACATCGTTGGCAAGACTCGGTAAATTTTCAAGCCAGTGAAATAGATGCTGCATGTCTCGGCCCTTTGTCAATTGTGGTCCTTTCAATAGCTTTTGTCAATGAGGAAGAAACAATTAATTGAAGATCTAAACTGGAAGCGAGACGTACCTGTTATTTCCTTTGTCCCCGATGACAATAATAGTGCTTATAGACATACAATTTGAGCTAATTAAGCAGACTTGCCCTCGCTGACTGATTCGTCACGCCCGTAACTGGGGGGGGGGGGATGTGTGTTCTGGATGAAACCAAATGTCGACAGTAGGTAGGATATGTAGTAAACATCTTCATATAGATCATACATAGCGTATGCTAGCAATAAAAATTTTGGGAAGAACAAGCAATTTGTTTTCAGTTTGATTGAAATATATATATATATGCAGGGGAAATGTTCTTGAAGTCAATGCCGCTAGATCCTAAATTTACTACAGTCGACTGAAAGATCAGTGAGATCGACCGCCTAGACTTCTTGGCGCCAAATACCAAGCGTTGTCAAAATCTGACAAACGCGTGTTGCTATTCACCGACATGGATCCGTTTTGTCAACAATAAAAATGACGTCTTCCTTATTAGAAAAAAAAACAGTAACTTATATGACGGTGAAAAGCGGAGCTTCACAGAGAGTTCCACTGGGTATTTACGTTACTTGTGAGTCACTTTTTATTTCCCCAGATGCGTGAAACGTTGATATTATTTAGCGTAATTAGTGAAGAACTCCATTCCTGTGACCCCCCTCCCCCACAATGGGACCGTCTTCATTAAGATGTGGTTTGCGCTAGGTATGCTGGAGCAGACCAGACAAGACCAGTCTCTCATTTCTGCGTTTGCTCAATTCTCACGCCAAATTATAAATGCATCTGTTTTGTGTAAATTATGGCAATTAAATGCTTATTTTACGTTCGGGTTGTATCAGGGGTTTTCAATATGCACCGTGGCTTGTGCACAGCGAGTGTATATATGTAAGAAAATCGGAAGAGTGCCAACAAGATGTGTCTATCGGCACAGGTAGGCTCCGTAGATTGCCTTTTCTCAATATGTTTTAATATGACATGATTTTTAAATTGAATACTGAAAAGTAATTTAAAGTAACACAGAATTCCGTTTGAGTACCACCTGGTATTCTTAGATAGGGGCGAGTGAATTTTCTTCGGAAATGCGTACGTCTATGCCGAGCAAGCCTTGCGAGTTGAAAACAACTGATCTCAGACTGGTAAAAAATATCTCAGTATGGTTGATTTTAGTTGACATATTAAAATTCAAATAGGGCGTATGTAGATCACATAACTGGTTTAAGTCCACTAAAGCTACCGGTTTCAAATATAAGTGACCGGGCATTGTTTACAACACCTGTCTCCAGGGGAAAAAGCGTCCGACTTGTGAAGCGCGTCATGAAAGTGATCGTTGGTGAGGGAAATAAATAGATAGAAATTATGAACTGTCGTCTGTTTGAATCTCAAGTTATGTAAGCACATATTGTACACAGCAAAATAAAATTTCAAAAGGAGGATAAAACGTGCTTGAAACACGTGTTAGGTGAAAATTGCGGCTTATCTTGCGTTACACTTCCGGTAAAATGCAATACTTCCGGTAAGATGGACGTTTTGGCAGATGCCCCTAACAATCCGACGATATCAAAGATTTCCATTGCTATATTTTAATCAATTCGACCAAACTGACATTTCCATTAAATTAATTAATTAATCTTGGTCGAATTGTTTGGCATATTACCGTATTTAAACTAGTGTGTGATTTTACATGTGAAGAATGAATAAACAATGAAAATGTTTACAAGTGCAGCAAAAACCATCAAGACTCCTCCCAATTCACATTTCACTTCTTCCTCAATGGAAAAATACTGTGTGACTCTGCTCAGAAACATGTGTGTTGTAAAGGGAGAAGTACTTCCCTGATTACATTCAGCAACAGAAATGACCCAAAACCCTTCCTCCAAGTGACCTTCATCTTTCAGGCAATTCAGAAAGTATAGTAAGTATATAAATCTGTGATTGAGGTTAAGACTAGGTTAATGGCAGAACATGCCACACTATACAAACACCCACCCTTACCTATGGATGTGAACATTTTTAGTCTGTCCCACACGATACACTCGATCACATGCCTGAAGTTCCAAAGCCGGGTTCCTGAACACAAGAAAAAGCACGATTTCGACTTACAATCTTTATAAACATGGCTATCATTTTCCACTTAATTAAAGAATAAAGTTATTGCAAAAATACCATGGTTGATGCCCAAGAAATATGGTGTTACTTTTTTGTTGATGGAGTACTTTAGGATCAACTGCACAGCACATCATGACCTTTGAGGAAGTTGAATAAAAAAGAAACCTTTCCTCACAAAATTAACTTAGCAGAAAGTTAAACATCTTAACAGCATGATAATAAATACAAACTGTCTTTTCTGGTCTTTACAAACATTCATGACCTTTCAAAAAATCATGGAATTTTTGTTCAATTTCTCTGACATAATTCATCGAAGACAACTTTGCTGATAAAGCAGAACCTAATTGAAAACTTTGTTTCCTTACCAGTGTATATCTAAAAGAAATAGATGGTTGCCACCAACAAGGTTCAAACCAACTCCACCTGCTTTGAGGGAAACAAGCATCACCTGCAAAAGAAAAAGGTTGAAACAAATGATGAAGTGTTGTAGGGAGAGGATTTAAAATTTGAACCATGTGAACATCTTAAAATATTATTCTTTTCAAGTTTTTTCTTTAATTTTTTGTTATTTGGGAACAAATGACTTTTTGGAGGAATCTGACACTTACTTCGTCTAGTGCTGGACAAATGGGTGAAAACTAAGACCCCGTTCACATGAAAAGTCTATTTTCTAAAAATCTATTTTCTATTCGCGGTATCTTGTGATCACGGTCCGTGCCCTGAATACCCCGCGGCGTAATTACTGGCAGCGCGAACCAGTTACTTCCAAAGCTGTAATTAATTCTCGGCTGCGCTCGGAGTGATCATAAGATACTGCGAATAGAAAATAGATTTTTAGAAAATAGACTTTTCATGTGAACGGAGTCTAAATCCTAAAAGTTATTGTTTTTTTTAAGACTTAATGAAGTGAATTCAGTCTTCTGAGACAACTATCCTTAGCCATTTATTGGTTGAAATCTCAGTAGGCGTACTAAAGTAATTTCTAACAGGAAGCATTAACAATGAAATAAACTTTACTCTTACAAAACTAGATTATGTGGTCATATGTTATGCATTCAAATAACCTACTCATTGTCTATAGTTACATGCATGATTTCACATAAACTTGCCTGATATATTGGACATATTGTTTGTAATGACTTTCTTAACAAGAACAAAGCACATCATTCCCAGAAATTTTATTATTGAGTAAGATAAAAGGCTTGCTTTGTTTTTTCTCATATTAATACTGTGATATTACTACCACAAGCTGTGGACCTCCAGCAGTTGAATTGTGAAAAAACACTGGTGCTTACTATGAAGAACCTTTTTTAGTGCTACTCATGGAATTAAGGCTTTGTGTACATTGTTATTAAAAAGATACATTTTAAAATAAGGTCTCTCTCTCTCTTTATCTGCACATCCATGATGCTGGGTAGCAACAGTGGGATCAAAATTTTAACATGGCATCAATCTTGTGAGCACGCTTTCCGCTTAGAATATGCATCGTATTTTGCTTCATATTTATAAATTTTGGAAAATGTAACATTAAACACACACAAAACTTATCAGGAAAGAGTACACTTTACTGCACAGAGTTGGGAAAGCACACTGCGGTCCTGAATCAGTGGTTTAACAGTGATGACACAAAATCGTCTCTTGTGCGCATGCTTTCCGCTTAAAATATGTATCGTAATTTGATTTATATTCATAAAGTTTGGAAAATTTCAAATTAGACACATAAAATTTATCAGAGAAGAGTACAGTTAACTTCACAGTGTTTGGAAAGCAAAAATCCTGAAGTGGCTGAATCGCTGCAATCCTGAATCAGTGGTTTAACAGCGATGACATGATATTTTTTTTTGTGAATTACAGGCCACAAAGTGGGAACTGGATATAGCTAATTTAATAAGTCTCATTTAACATTCCATGTGAATGGTCATTACGTCAACAATGGAAAACTCCCACTATTTACACTAGGTCCCTGGGCCGAATCTGAATGGGGAAACAATGATACCTGATAGCTGTGATTTTGTGGTCGTGTGTGTCTGAAGGAATAAAACAGAATTGGGTCAAAATATTTACATGCTCAGATGACAGGATTTCCTCACTGATTGTTGTTATATTAAAAGCTGGGTGTATCCCGAAGTTGAACGATTTGTATGGTTCACATGTATGGGAGATGATATTTTGTACTGAAGTTGAAAACAGAAATGATGGTAATGAACAACCCATCAAAGAGCAATTTCGGTTTTTCTCTAGTGTGTATGCCTTATTCTGAGATAACTAAAAAATAATGACAATACTATTCTAAGAGATTTCTTTTCCATAATGTTCAGCTGAAAAACAGACTGGTATGTCTTTCTTGGCAGAAGATACTAGGAACTGTATGACAGAGCTTTCACATATTCAAAGTAAAAAAAAAAAGAGTAAAAATTTCTCCTCTTTCTCCATTTATGACCAAAGAGAGAAGTTTCTTGATGTCTACACCAAGGCTTAATAAAAAGGCTTGAGTGTTAATAGCAGAATCTGAGGGGAAAATGATATTATTATCATTGCATAACATTGTCATTAAAAATAAACAACCAGTTCTAAAATTAACTGAGCTATAATCTACTATTAATAAGTAATGCGCTCCAAGTCATAAACAGTAATTTGGTTTCCAAGATTGGAAATTCCATATGCATCGTGAACACTTATCACTATCTAAGGCATCACACACCCTCTATTTCATGTATGCATGTTGAGTTCCTAGGTCAACAATAGCAAAACTATACTTATGTGATTAACAATTGATTATCACAACAATAACAACATTTATCATACTTATAAGATGATTAAGTTATACAGATGGCTTAGCTCATGCTGACTCAAGAGACGTGGTAATTATTTGTTCATTTTCTCCTATTCTCTCTGCAAAGTTACATGAGAACAACAGGATAAAGCAAAGTCCTGTAAACGAATCTGGAAAGGAAACTGCAATAAAGCAAACCAGGATGAAACATTTGGTACCCCATATAAAACAGCATGATACTGAAATTAAGGGAAAAAAAGATGGAGAAAGGTAGTTGAATAGAAGTGATGGATAGAGGGATAACCAAGGATGTAGAGAGAGTGAAAAAGATATCATATGTTGGAACAGGACAGCAAGACATAATTTTCTCTAGCATTTTAGACAAAACATTTTGCACCACTTTTATATTTTCATATTCAACTTTTTCTTACAGAGACCCTTCTTATATTATGCAAAAATGTCCCTGAAGTGTTTTTTTTTTACTTAAAAAAAAAAAAAAAAACCTTATCTGTATCTTTATGCCTGGTGCTTACAGCTACTCAGTCAAGTGCACTCAACCAAGATACATAATCAAACATATATCTACCAGCCATGAACATTATAAATAGCTTAAAAATTATTATCAATAAAATATTTACTCAAAAGAAAACATAAGGAATTTAAAAGATTAAACAATAGAGCTTTCCTAATATTAATATAAAAACATAATACTAATTATAATAACAAAGAAATTAACTTTTAGGAAATTCCACTGAACCCAAAATTTTTTAATTTAATACACCACTGAACATTTTGAGTTTTCACCCATAAAAAGTTTCCCTACACAATACTATATGGAAGGGTCTAAGGTACCAAAATCAAAAATAAAACATCTGTATTCCAGTGAAGTGTGATTCAGCTACAAGGTTAAATGTAATCAAAGTCAGTGACACTGTCACTTATATATGTCCATGTCAATGCTGCAGTGTGCAGTTCTTTGTCTAATACAATCTACACAGTATTCACACCTTTCTACTGCAAGGCTCATTAACTGTTGGTTTCTTCACCTGATGACAACAGTCCAACAGTTGGGGAGTGACAGGATTGTGTCGTCCTCAGTTTTCACTTATAGTTGACCTAAAATGGACCAGTTTTCTGGTCCTCTTATTCTTTTCGTAATAATAACGGCAGCTATAGAAATACATTAGGTTGAGACTTAGAGAAATCTCTTGAATATATGTCCTTACATAATAACCTACATCAATTAAATCTGTTTATAAGAAATGGTAAAACGTAGATTATCAAACTGGGAAATACCACCTTTACACCCATTATTTCACTTCAAAACATACAAAAACCTGTGCAGAGAGGTTTAATCTCTAACTTGAAAACTATTATGTTCACAACACAGTTCCATAGTTACATAGAAAAATTGTAAAGTGAAATCAATAGATGTGTGGTTGCTGATCCAAAACTCATTACAGTTTGCTCTCACTGGGGGTAATTGCCAAAGATTGATTGTGCTCATTCCCTCTAGCCACTTAATATCACTTCGGCTCTTCCAATGATGCTTTAACTACCTACTCTCCTGAGTCACTTCTAAATTACAGTGTTCTACCCCTAAGAACAACTCTGAGAGACTTTTACCAAAATATCAGCTTTCATTTAGAAATCTGTCACAGCATTTAAATCAATTTCCTGCTTTTTGGAATTTAAGTAGGCATTCTGGAATGCTACTGAAAAAGATTTGTCAACAATAAAATAAATAAATAAATACAAAAATAAAATAAAAATAAATAAATAAATAAATAAATAAATAAATAAATAAAATAAAATAAAAATAAAATTAAAGAAAACTTGTAGCATCAATTATCAACTCATCACGCACTTGAAAATTTCTATAACAATTGGTTTTTTGCATTTTTTCACTTTCTAGTTTTCATAGAAGGGATTCCTTTATAATCATCTACTAGCAAACTGTTCAACTGAAGGGAATCCATCCAAATTCCAACTACGTAAACTATATTTAATGGAGATCCATGTTTAAACAAATCCTTAAACCAAAAGTTTATTGACTTTTCTCTTTTTGAAATAAAGAAATGTTCATTCCACAATTCGATTTTATCCAACAAAATTAACTTAATAGTAGATGCTTTGAAGTGCCTACAATAACAAACCAAACAAAATTGCTTTTTTTTGTTATCAAAACACACCACAATTACATTAACAGCATCATTAGTTTACATCTCTAAACCACACTCCACAATTTATTTATCTTGCTCTTTTCCTGATATTATTGAACAATAATGAATCATGTCTCCGTCTGTGACCTATAATCATCACTGTAATCAACAAGACAATTTTGAAGATGGGGACAACCTACCGCAATTTTTCTGTCTAGAAAATTACCTTGAACATCAGTAACAAAGCTTAAAATGTTGCAGTCACCCCCAATTATCCTAATAACAGTTTTGAGACAAACTATACCATTTTCAAATCTAAAATTTAGTAAATAATTAGAAGTGGACTTAACCTTATAAACTTCAGCGGAGAGCAGGGGGGGACCAGGTGATTGGATTAGATACTGTGGGTGGCCAGTGTGTAGCATTTTTATCTTATATATATATATAATTAGAATACTGAAGGCTGTCTGAACAGGTGCACACTCGACTGATGCTTGCTAACCTGTTGTGTAATAAAGACAGCCTTTAGACAGCTGTTAAAAATATGTGAATTCAAAACAGTCCTTTTTCTTTTCATCTAAGTAATTTACAAATCCTTTCTTTTACCTCAGGGCCCTCAGGGTTGGTGTTAAAGTCATCGACTGCATCTGCTCTGAGTTTGGGAGTTATATTGCCTTGAATTGTGTGGTATTTGTAGCCTGCTTGTTTCAGGTGGTAGGCCACAATTTCTAACACCTTGGTCCACTGAGACACTATTACGCTGTAAAGTTAAGAAATGACATTATTAAGTTTCATTGTCTTTCAGCAATATGTAAACTGAGCACTGTAATGTATAGTAGCCAATAAAAACTTCTCCAAACTAACTGATGGTGGTGGAGAGGGGATGACTTTGACATTCAAATGGAATAGACAAGTTTGCCATCCTAAATACTATCTCTTTATACTATACTTTGTTTGTTAGACAATGACCAAAAATAACCAAATATGATCCAATTATGGGGAGAAATTCCCGCCCTTACACAAGCAAATTTTTTGTGGCACTACCTTTTCATGGGGGTTCCTTCAGAGTACTTGCGTATTTCTCTCAATCTCTCCATTACAGCTGCAATCTGAAGAATAATGGAAACAAGTATGAAGTGGCAATGTTGTGTAAACAAAGGAGAACACAGTTTTTAATGGGTGATGGCCTTCAAATTTTTGTCACCACTGCTTCAATTAGGAATAAGCCATTGGTACGGACTATATTCATATGAATTACCAGAGGCAACCTTTTTTAGTTTTTACCACAAATCAATTTATTAAAGACTACTGGAAGCCCCTGGCCAAAAGTCTTTAATTAGGAATAAGCAGTTTTCAGCTAAATTGTTGAAATAAATAATTAATAATGTTCAGTAATCTAAATGTTCAAAGAGTAAAGAGATATGTATGTTAATAGATTGACCAAGCTAAAGTATTATTTCAACCGAGTGAAAAATTATTAAAAAAATTATAAAAATAAAAATGTTATGAAGCATGTGGTGATGAAGCTTTTGTTCTCAGCAGTATACTGGAAAAAAGGCATATTATCCTTAAAATAAAAGATCCTACAAATAATCAATGTGTCTACAAACCAAGTCAACATTAAACAAGTGTCATATTTCAAGGCAAGTAGTTAAGCCATTTCCCAGAATACTGTAATGGCAAAACTAAGGTCTACCAGTTGTTGTTACAGGAAATCAAAGCAACATGGAAACAGTTTGAAGTTTATCCTGCACAAATTGAATAAAAGATGACATTTCTGTCACTGCTAAATATAGGGTAGTTAAAAAGCACTGTTGCCTTCTACTTTTAATTAACAGAACAGAGTAAATGCAGGGTATGTAACAAAGTAATGAAAGCAGAACTATAGACACCATTCTATAATTCTGTTTTGATTGCCACTGCTGCTCCTGCTTCAGAGACATGGACAGACAATGCAGTACATTTTCATTGTGGTAATCTTTATCATTAACTGCTGACAAGTCAAAATATTTAAAGTCTTCATTTTGATATAAAGTCACTTATACACATAATTGGTTGCTGAGCATGTTTTGCACATAAAGTCAGCATATCTTTTCATTGAAATTCGATTACACTACAGCAAGTCTGACATTAAAGATGCATATGAAGTCAATTTTTGCCTCAAAAGCTGACCAAATGCCACTAAATAGTTTCAAACAATACAAGTATAACTCAGAAAAATACCAAAAACATTGTTTCATATTACCTAAAATATGATATTTGAATGTATATTCTGCTTTCTTTCTGTGCTATAGACAAACAGGGCAGATAAGGTTAGATAAGTAGGTCAAATTAACAATCGAAAATTTGAAAAAGGCGCATCTCTTTTATGGCTAATCGAGTGACTAATTAGGTTTATTTCTTGGCCTATAAACTTTATTCAAGTTGAATAAGATTCTTGGCAAAGTGGTTTATATGGGTTACTGGGAATCCACGCTCCAACTGGGTTCAAATGTACCTTTAACCATAGGCCCTTTTACACTGTGATAGTTGGTACTGGTATACTTTGAGAGGTCAAAGCATATAATTACACTATAGGAAAGGTCTACTTCCTTTCACTAGTTCTCCACAACTTCATTTTCTACTGTTAATTAATTGACTCTGTCAACCTTAAAGCCTCCCCATAGGTGACTCTCTTACATAATAATCAGGCTATCAAGTTGTCAATTTTTTCAGAGTATACTTATAGAGAAAGGATATCAGCTGATGTGAAAAGGGCCTTCCACTATATATCATCATGTTACACAAATCAATTTCAGTTTTGCCAGAATAAGACTTCTCAGCCAGCCAACTTCATTTTCTAATGCCTAAAGCAATGAATCCTCATTTTCTCTAAGCAGATAAGAATACAGACACTGCAACAATATCCTGCTACCCATGCATACAAATACCATCTATCAGAGAGATACTTTATGAAATATTGAATTCATCAGTTTATCTAACGGTGGCATTGCATAGATCTTTGTAAGAATACTCCCACATTGACTTAGACAACTTTCACAAGAATGGTGGTAGCACAAGACAATAGATACTAAATATTGCAACATTACTACAGAAACCCTAAAGTCATTCCATTCTGATGCCTAATCAGAAACAAAGAAGATAAGAAGTAATTGAATTGGCCTGATGTCAGTATTAATCCCATTTTGCATAATAGCTTATTTTCAAAATGAAACTCCATTCAAAATATTGCTCTGAGTCAGCTGGGATAGGCCAACAAAATACATCAAAACAAACCTTATCTTCCTTTCAGCAACACAATTTTTAAGTTAAATTAAAAATAATTGTAAGATTATTTCTAGGTGCATTTTAAAGAACATGTGCAAAAGATCAGAGAGGTGATACCACCTCAGGGTATTGTACCACCAGCTGGAGTAAGCGCATTCGTATGGAAAAAATAAGAGAATCCACCTCCACTGTTGAACTTGACAACTTTTACAAAATGTAGTAAACAAGTTCTCAATTTTTTTTTTGTAGAAAATTAAAATTTATAACATCATATGGATAAGTAAAAGGTCAAATCCAAGGTAGCAGTAAGATTATGAATATAAAACTTCTCATCCAAGTTCAATAGTAAATATAAAAGCTTGGAAAATTGCGAAGTACGGTTCCTGGTGAAAAGTAGGACAAAGGTCAAATTCAAGGTCACAGAAGAATTGCTAATATTTGACAACCCTTTCAAGTTCAATAGTAAAAATGGGTGTATCTCTATTAGTTATGGAGATATAAGGGTCACAAAAATGCAACAAACAAGAGGTCTCTAGCAATTACAGTTCCAGATTTATAGTTTTCAGTTTCAGCATCCAATGGCTGTTGCTCCAGTGATAATGCATGGATCGACCCCAAACTCACTAAGATAAAAGATGACCCTAAGTGTAACACCCACCCATATTATTATAGGTAAGGCCTCTGTAGTTTTTGAAAATCGACACAGATAATTTTTTTTTTGCAAAAACATTCCATTTTTTAGAAAATTTTAGCTAGTTTAACATTGAAATAAAGGTCAAAGATCAACTCCAAGGGCATGACTTTCGGTCAGACATCTATAGTAATTTTCCCCATAATTCCTTTGGTTTGGGAGATATTTAACATTTAATTTTGCAAATTTTGGACAAGGGTGCATTGCGATGAGTGCCACACCTAGACCAGTATACCCAAAATGCCCAAAATTTACATGAATTGCGTTGGGATTATATGATATCTACAGCTTAGAGATGGGTACACAGGCTCTTATAGTCTAGGAGAAGAAGTGGTAACGGTGACGTGGCGACGGAGCCAGCTGACGAGATGGGTCAGGACTAAAACCATGTGTACCGCCAGTACTGAGCTGGTGGTACAATGACTCAGAAATCGATCACCTGAAGATGAAGTGAATGAACAATTGAGTTATTCAAATATTTTCCTGCATTAAGTGGACAGGTTGTTCTTTGCATTCCTGTTTCTAAAATTCAATACTAGTATTCAAACACTTTGAATTACTCTGATGCATTGAAAAGCATTTCAAGTGAGAGGAAACACTGCTTTACTTTGTCAAGGATGTCATCCCATTCACTTACATATCAAGCCTACCATCCATCAAATCCCACCATTTTCTTTTGTAATAATAAAGTTAAAATAATAATAATGATAATAGTATATAAAATTAAAGAAAAAAAAAGATTATCCTAAAATTGAATATTTAAGCTGTCCTTATAGTCTTCCCCCTTAACCAATTACCTTATAGTATGTGTCAGCAAATTCATGCAATATTATCTTTGAACACCAGACATTACATCAAATACAACTTATAATAGCATCTGAGTCATTTGAGCTCTCACAACTAATGGAACATAGAAAATATTTAAGTGCAATGTCTACAATGGGGCCCTAGCAGGCAATACAAACCCTTCAAATTTCACAAAAGGACTTCCCCTTAAATGAGCACTCATCATGTCATCAGTCCAAATATCACAGAGGTATTAGGTAAATAAAAGCACAAAATGTCATTTTTCCCCAGGAAAAAAATATATCTGTGGCCCAAAATGAACAGAGCAGGAATACTATTTCTAATGTTGGAAATTATGAAGTTGTATTCAATGACAATGTTTTTCAATCATGATTGTACCCTTTCCTTTTCCTTTTTTTTTTTTTTTTTTTTTTTTTTACAAAATGCATATGTATTCACTCATCTATGCACTGTACAGTACATCATCTAACATAATTGTTGATAGCTGGAGTCAAAAGCTCTGATATGTTGTAAGCTGGAGAACTATTGCTGCCACATCAAGGCTAGGGTTACCAAAGAATCAAGTGTGTCGTGACAAAAAAATGACACTGACTGGGGATAGGTAAAAGCACATGTAATTTTTACCCCATTTTTCAAAACTGGCATAAAAAAAAAAGAAAAAAGGTCAAACGTGTTCTTTGCCATAAAAATCTACTAAAATGAGGTCTTATGTCTCTTCTGAAAGATCCCTCTAATAAAATTTTACTACAACTGCAGCTGTAAAACTTTTGTCTAATATATGAAAATGATGATAAATGGTTATACATCTCACAAACTTCTTTTCATGGCACATTAGGTTGATCACATAGTATGTCAATAGCTATAGTTATATGCATTGCAAATAACATGGTTACTGGCGTCTTTATGAGCTGCTTCTGTCCAAATGGGAAACAATTGTATCAACTGAACTGCTAATGTTTGAAGAAATGATAAATGATGGCATGTGAATCAGATTTTTTCTGATTATGAAATCAATACATGTGCATTCTTGTTCAATTTTGCAATCCACTACTACTCCGAATTCAATCTAAGCTCAAATGAGATATCCAATATCATACAGATATTTCCGTTTCCCATTGCCTATTTTTATGAGCAATTCCTTTTCACAATTTTTCATTGAAAATGTGCAAAAAACAAAATGTATAAAGGTAATAATACAGTGATGGATAGTTGAAAGTCAAGATCAGGTAAATTCCTTTACCATTGTTTTGTATTGAAAATAAGGCTGCAGAAGTGTTACCACGATTGAAAATGTTGACAAACTGACTTACTTAATCATATGTTTACTGTCATTTACTAAATTGCAGAAGTTTTGCGACCCATAAATCCTCTTTATAAAACAACAGCTGATTAAATTGCTGATAAAAATTACAGTGTACTTTATATGGGATTTTTTACCATCGTGCACAAAGCACATCTATAGCAAAATTTTATGTCTCAGAATCATCCTAAGGCTCCTGAATAATAATCCCGTCTTTCAATTCTTCAGCTCAAATCACTGCCATTTGCTTTTCTCATTGCCAGGACATCCAATGCTTTTTTAGAGACAATAATAAATGTGCAAATAATAATAAAAATGAACGCAGTTTTTAAGAAACTTTGATCTGACTAAAGCTCTTTTTTCTTGTGTTCTGTCACTAAAGTTTCTATGACTACATTGTTTTCATTTTAGCACTTTCATCAATAATCAAGGTGGACACAGTGGTCCATGAACTTCCTCCAAGTCACACCAAATCTAAATCTGTGTAATCATGGAATTTTGAATATGGTGTTCACAAACTTAATTAAAGATCCCATGATAGGATTATGTTCAAAAAGTGTCCCAAGCTCAACGCTTTCTAAAGTTAAAAATATTTCAAGTTCTTCCTAAGATGACATCTGTCACCTGTAAAAATTAATCACAGGCTTCTGTGTTCCAAGTAAAGTCCTCCTGACTCATCCTTTTCTAAACTTATAGCTTTATAACTTTATGACATAAAGACAAAGGATGGAGTTTTGAAAAAAAAAAAAAAAAAAAAAAAAGGACACACAACAGACCCATGTAGGGAGCTAAAAAATGAAGATGTGTGTGAAACAACTATCTGAACTTGCTGTACATAGACAGTGGACAGAAAATGACACCTCACAAGGACAACTGATAATCAAATCTGAAACTCAGAAATTAATCTCATTTTATGTGCTCCACTGTTTTAGAAAATTTAAACCAATTATGACAGACTTAATTGCATTCATAATGCTTCTGTTTGCATCTATCTTTCAATACTTCACAGATACGTTTCCCTTTGAGGCTTCATAAACCTGAAAACCTCAAGACCAATTTGAATACTTAACTCAATCACTAAGTGAACCTAGATATTCTAGATGTTCAATTGTTTCCATCTAGACTGATCAAAGTGTCAATGAAGTGTAACCATAAGCAATGAAATTAAGGCCAGCTTTTACAAGAATAATGTACTGTATGTTGGCGTGCAATATTGCATTATATCTTATATATGTGCAGGGGGATCAGATGTTTGAAGTGGACTCCTGGTGATGCTTTTTGGTTTAATGTGTTTTGAGTTTTCCTACAAAGGTCTTGCATTACATCCAGAGTTTTCCCTCTGGTCTAAAAGCTTACATGAGTTAGACAATTATCCCAGCTTTCATGTAGTAACAAGAATACAGATAATCTGTAAAGATTGGCGGTCTTCAGGTTATCTTAAGTTGGGGGTTGACTGGTGCTTTGTCTGACGTTTTTTGACAACCATCAACCAGGGGTCAAAATGTTATTTTCCCAGCTTCAGATATTTCAAGAGCACTTTCAAACTTCAGTTTCATTTTAAATTCACCACTGAAAGGATGTTAAATCATACTTTTATGAACGATTAAACCTTCAAGAGTTTACGGGTTTGAAATAATAAACCTTTTATCTGAGAATAATTCACTTTAGGGCACACTTTTTTAAACCAATTTTGGCCAATTTGGGGTTACATTCTTGGTAATACATTCTTGATATACGTAATAGTTTACAAAGTACACTGACAGGTATAGGGAAAAAATTATTGGTTTTGTTGGACAGTTTGGGTTCAAATAGAGACAGGCAAAATTTTTCACTTTTCTGTTGAAAATCATTTTAAATCATTTTAATAAATTGCACCCACCTCATTCTCTTCTTTATGGCATAGAATATTCTAGCCTTTAGAATTAAGGGCCTAATATTTCTGTCCTTTTACTTCTGAAAATTTAGAGTTTTTTTTTTAATGCACTACCTTCCCCCTCTCTTATCAATAAAAAATTGCCCTACTAGTAAGGAAAAAGCCTCCCCTCCTGAATCTTCAAAGTCAGATTAATCATTGTATGCACTAGAAATATGTTGAATTGTTATATTATTCCATGGTGCCATCATAATTTACATGCTCAGTAACTAGTAGTCTGCCTTAAATTCATGATTCCAACATCAAAAATATCTCATTACCTGTCTTCTCACATATTACCAGTAAAATTCATTGTTTTAACATAAAATAATCACATTACATGTCGCGCCATAGATTTCCAGTAATTCACTACTTCATAACAGTAAACATACATTTCTTAAGTTCACATTGTATCTTTCCTTGATAATAACATCAATCTATTTTAAAATCAGAGAATTGATTTTTTTATGCTTTTAATCTGGGAAATCTATTTTCTTTCAGGGAAACTTCAAAGTAATATTCAAATCGCTTTACCAGCAGGGAAAGTAAGATTTTCTGAACATTTTGACCCCTGTCAACCCTCATACTGTGCAGTGTTACATAACGGTATTTCGGTGAGAGATTTGCACTGGTTCACTGTGCTGGGACAGTGTTCAAATGGCATTCATGTAGCTTTTTACTGTCTGAATCCCATACATCTAAGGGAAACTCTTTTGACTACACAAGGCAGTTCATGCTGTCAAATGGACAGATGTACACACATCAAAACTGTTTCAACAACAGCAAAACAGGATGAGGGTTAATATCCACACAATACATACTGATATTTAGTAAATGCTAATTTGTATACAAGCAAAATTTCGTAAAAATGAGCACAACTATCCAATCCAGCTAGGTGTTAAACTCAGGGTATATCCTACTGCCACATATTTTGAAGATAATAGGGAGCGTAGTACCTATTCACCTGGTTAATGAAGATAATGAACTGCAATTAATATGCTTTTTGACAATTCTGACACAAAAAAATTGTGATTCACTATACACAAACCACAAATATTCACAAAATTTCAACAATGGTTAACAATGTTTCACTGAAATTGTGGATCATCAGCAAATGTGAAAAATGCTGGGCTTAATAACCATGGGAATATAAACTCACACCTAGAAAATGGAAGTATGTGCATAAGAAAAAAATATATCAGAAAAATCATCTAATCTTACTGGTTTTCAAAAATAAGTAGTATTTCTGTGCTATTAATAATTTTGGTTAGTATGAGGATAATAAGTATCTATATGGTAAAAGGAGATCAGGTGATGTCTCATTTTTACATTTTTCTCCCAAACTACAACATTCTGTTGACAACTGAGAGGTGTTAGCAATACCTTAGGGCAGTGGGAAGATAGTGGCCATAGTTTGAATTTGATTATAACGGTTAAAATTAAATTTTGAAGGCATTTTCTAGCCTTCGGCAATTTCCATAAAGCTTCGTCATGTGTGACAGGAATCATATATTGTCAATAACACTACATAAGATAGCAGAATTGCTGGGCGAGTGGTAAAATCCTTGGCTGATAAACACAGCAGAGTGGTTTTAATTCCCACTCAGTCATGTTTTTTCTTTTATTTTTAATTCTTATTATTATAATAATCTCTTATCATGGTTCACTGATTGATGTGACAGGTATCAGTTAGAAGTAAATTAATATGCCCTCTAATTGGAGTTAATTCACAGGCACTGGACCTAGCATTTAACAAACCATTTCCAGATGAAAAAAAAGACAATTGTAAGACAATTTCAGGAAAATGAAATGATGGGACATATCTGCCCTGCTATACTAGGGCAAGAAGTAATGATTACCCTGCCTGTCTAAGTCTTGAATGTTAAATTTCAACCTGAAGTGATATTTAAATTTATCCAGTACTTTTATTCTGTCAGTATCTTAATCATGTTTGTAACCTGTCTAATTTAACATCCAATTATTTATACTGTTGTTTTTAGTTAAAGGTTTTATTTTGGGCCAACATCTTACATATTACATGTCAACAGTGCTGACATGAACATGTGTTAATTTCTTATTATCATTAACAAAGCCTCCTGTATCAAACAGTTACATAAAGTGGTTAAAGCTATGATCAATACAGATTTGTGAAACATACCTTTGTACTCAGGGAGGAAGTTTCAAAGACATCCGAGGATTTACTGACATCAGGTTCTTTGGTCTTTTCATCAACCAATGCCATAGCTTGCATCTGCTGTTCTAGGGTAAGTTCTATTCCTTCAGATGCTGCATCTTCTTGGTCTACAACCTGCAGAGGTGGGGCAAGTATGAGATGCAAACACTCCATCTTAGATCAAAAGAACACATTTACGGCAAGATCCTTTAAAAGTATACCAATGTAATCAGGGCAATAAACTTGAATCTGAAACTAACTTGAAACTAACAATATCATGGAAGAGGAAAACAGTTCACCCCATCTGAATATAAACAAAGACCTAAACCCATCATCTAAGCATTATTCAGATATAATCTATCCAACTATGAATTAAATTATGATTCAATTTCTCACATTTTTCAGTAGACTTAGATGGCTACAGCACTGCCTTAGTCTGAGAAGCAGTAAGAGCATCTGCCCTGCCCCTGGGGGTTTGCTGTCCACTGTACCGCCACCACCAGGACTACTTTTACTCCCAACAACTGCATGACCAGTATTGGACATTCTCTGTTCACCACCCCAAATGGACTCCTTTTCTTCCTGCCTCTGAAGGTACTTGATCAAAGTGGCCCTGGGAAAGGAAAACAATTAAATCTAAAATAATGTCCACCTAGATGGCCATGTGTGTAAAATTAAATTTTTAATGCATTTTAGCACAATAGGTATGCCCCACATTTGAATTAATTTTCATTCCCAACAGCCACATGAGAAGAACATAAATTCCAAGTTGCCATAAACCACATTTCATTGAATTCTGAAGGAGAAAAGAAAATCGGCCACAACACCTCGCATTGTTTATGATACAAGTTGATAGTCCCCAAGTAAAAGTCTCATCTTTCACACTTACCTGGATTCAGCAAAAACTTTGTCATACACAGTTCTTTCTTCTTTGCTGAGATTAAGCTCATGAGTGAAGGACATCTTATCAGGCAGTGACACCTGAAAGTGACACCTTCAAAGTCACCAAAATCTAAGAAAGATTTAATACATTTAAATATTTTCTATGAATAGTTCCTCCTATTTTTTTCTCCTTGTCAAAAGATTAACTCATTACTTTACAGACATTATAAGAGATATGACAATATACTACAGTAAAACTGGTGTCTATCTTTACCAAAGGTTTCCCCTCTTTGCCAGTCTGCCCCTTGGTCCTCCTTAGCAGCAAACTTTTCACCAGAGTATTCAGTCTCTTTGTACCATGGGCTGGAAAAAAGTAACAGAATTACAAACAAAATAAAATTCTTTTTATCAATCGAGCAGTTTTGAAAAACCAGAAAAAGAAGTTAAAAAAAATCTTTGTCTAAAACTGAAGATATACTTTACCAGTCTTGTTGTCTGCCACCTGCCTCTTCCATACTTTCAGTTCATCAAATGGAGAGCATCTTAGAAACCTAAGAAATTAAATTTACTTCATTAGGGAATGTGTTCATTGTTATTGTCTCAAAATAAAACTATTCCTAGATGAAAAAAAAAAATGAATTGTTTAGTGCTAATAAGTCACATCTTGATCAACAATTTATGCGATCCACAAAAACTTAAGTCCATGTATAAAAAGTGTAGAAAAGATAGCTACCAACCACATTTCAATTCTTTAATTCCATTTTTTTTTCAACAAACAACACTCTACACTACCTGATCAAGGAATACATATCAAGCAGGTCATTCTGAATGGGAGTTCCTGTGAGAGCCCACCGTGACCCCGCCCGCAGTCTGCAGACAGACATTGCTGTCAAACTCTTATGATTCTTGATGTTGTGCCCCTCATCTAATATGAGCCTTTCCCAGCCAATACGTAGCAGATTAGATTGTTTAGTGGGATCTTCAATCTGGGATTGTTAAAATACGTAAATGTTAAAAAAACAAATTTTATTGAGAACATAATGATAACAACTGGACTTATTGATAATCTACATTACCAATGGCCATCTAGCAAACACTGGAATCCCCCCCTCCCCTCGTAAACATGGGAATTTGATATGCATAACAATACCTAAATTTGCTCATTCAGCAATGATTAAAAGCCTTGAAGGTGCTTATTTATCAATCCACCACAATGGATGCCACAGTTTAAAAAAATCTTAGAACAAGAATCTGTTAAGCATCAGGGACTGTTTTCCATTGTAGATGAAATACAACAACACATGATCTCAACCCCATGAGGTCTGTAACAATTAGTTAACCAGAGGCCATCAATTTAGATTTAGACGCCTGTTTCTAATTTAAGCAAAGATAATGAGAACTGCTCTACCTAGCAGCATGAGCCAGTTACCTTATCATCCACCACAGCACTTTCTTGGGCTGCTTTATCATTCTTCATGTCCTCAGGGATCCCCACTTCTCTGCTTACTATGCTGTAGGTGGTCAGCACAATGTCTGCCTTGGCCAGCCTGAAGGTAAATTGAGCTTTGGAACACTACTATTTCTGCATTTCATCATTGGCTTGTTTGCCATATACCCATTAATGGATAATAATAAAAAAAACCCTCATAATAACGGCATACAATAAAATACCCATCTATTTGTCTTGAGTTGCCCTTTTTCGCAATACAATCATTTAAAAGATACAGGTATGATTTTAAAACACTTTTAATATTTAATTTAATGGAAACATATATAAGATGAACTAGCCACATTTTTCCCATTTACCTGTTGGCATATATGCCATAGGCCCAATAATGTATCATAAAAGGAAAAAAATTGCAGCCGAGTTTTCATTTTTTCAATAAAAATATTTGAAAGACAATGGAGTGAATGTAAAAAGCTATAAAATCAGTTTCAGAAAAAATATCCCCAAGTGGTTTCATTGGTTTTAATAGAAACATTGAGCAGTCCTCACCTGATCACACTGGCTTCTCTATTGGGACCATGATATAGGATCACATTCAAAAGTCCAGGCCTGCAGCGGTTTTCAATCTCTCTGTGCCACTGGTGGACCAGGGAAGCAGGGCATACAATGAGTGTAGCATGGCTCTTGATGATAGATGAACTCACTAGAAGTGAAGATTTATTCTTTAATGACATTGATACTTGTTTTATTGCTTCAAATGTGTTATTGCTAGGGGAAAGGGTGATTCATAATTCAACAGAAATTTGCCAATTCTCTTTTTTACTGGGTAATTTGGATATAATAAAATTAGATCTTCACATTTTTCCTTTTGCTTGTCCTTGCTGAGCCACTCAGATTTTTCCTCATCAGTTCCAGTCACACGACTCTGATTCTGTTTTAGCACAAGGGATATCATAGTCAAAGTCTTGCCCAGACCCATATCATCAGCTGAAACAAAAACACAATACCAAACTGTTACCGGAAAGATACCACATTATTGCCACTTTTACCTAAATTGCAGGTATGACTGAGTTCATTTCTCAGACAACTATAAACAAAAAACTTAAATAATACATACCTTATTAAATAGTGTAAGGTTATAAAATTAAAAAATAACCACAAATGACAGTATACTCATTAAATGTTGGTTACATTATATAATAATACTTCAATGAAACAGGAAACCCTGTGTCACTATTGTAGATACTGTAACACTTATAATAACAACAAAGATTAATTTACAAAATGTAACTGCATCCCAGTTTAACAAAAATTTCTTTAATCACTACCCCAAGACCCCATTACAACCTCCTGCTATCCAATATGTCAGTTCTACCCACCCCCACCCCCTTTAGGAGATGAACATGTGGAATGATGGCCCAGATAAGGGAGAGATTACAGAAGGGGGATTGCAATTAGGCATCTGGCCCTGTATGCACAAAACATCTTAAGTGTATTTTTTAAAGAATTTCCCTAAGAATTTCCAAAAGTGATCATCCTTAACATAAGTGGTATGCATAAAGCATCTTAAGATGAGAATTTCCCCAAATATCTCCTTAACTTTAAGGTACCTCATTGGGTCTCTTAAGTGGAAATTTTGTCCTTAGATTCAGTGACTGTACAACACAGTGGCATACATTTGTGCTAGTCAAAGCTGTGCAGCAACATTATTTCTCTATGGCTCTTATTCCCAGCGGGCAAAATATGTTGTTTTAACATTGAAACAACGTTGAACCATAATGTTGATAAGACGTTGGATAAACATTGGATTTGAAAGTTGACTCAACCTCAGATAAAAACGTTGTATCAACGTCAGATAACAACATTGTATCAACCCCAGTTGTTAGACAACATTCTTGCATGAAAAGACATTGAAATGACCTGAGGGTAGGGTATAAAAGTATATATATATATATGTAACAAAGTCACAGTCACCTCAACATCTCTATGTATAACAGGTTACCAAGAACTGTTAACATTATTAATTCACTCCATCACATTTACAGCAACTTATTCATCCTAGTGTTAGCTGACCTTGCAAGGAATTCAGTTTATTGGAATGTATTTCTGAATAACAAGTTAAGAAAATTCACTAGTTCACTAAAGACACAAAACAACTGTCACTTTTACTTTTAACACTTTTTTGATTATTTTGATAAAGTTAGTTACAGTATTGATAAACAAAGTATCACGTTTTCAACAATTAATATTTTAAAATATAATCCATGTCTGCAAGGTTGTGTCAATGACCAAAATACAACGTTGAGTCAACGTCACATTATGACGGTGTTTCGACGTGGCTGGATCAACGTTGATTTAACGCTGAATTAAGGTAGATCAATGGCAATTCAATGTATCATCCTGTTTTCAACGTTGATCCAACGCAACTATGCCTGCTGGGTTATTGCTGTTTATCGTGAAGAAGTGGATGAACTGTAAAGGGCAGTCGCAAGACCAAGAATATTTCGGGACCGCGAAAATCCTTTGGATTTTTACCCAGATCATGAGATTTACCAGCGATTTCATTTTGATAGAGCGGGGATACTTTTCATTACGGATCTTCTGGCAGTTACATTTGTAATTTGTCGTTCTGTTAAGGGATATCTAAAGTGAAAAATTTTGAATGGGCATTTTTTATGGCATGTTGCTTATGAAATCCCCGAAAACCACCTGATAACACGGAATCTCACGCATCAATGCTTATACAATTAACATAGGTATTTAATATGTGCATACGAGGGGTCAGTAGTGAAATTAATAATTAAAATTAATATTAATATTATGAATTACATGTCACAATTTTTCATCACAGATAACACTTAAAATATGTAAGTCGATGACATGTAAATGGCCATAGTCATGAAATAAGTACGTGCTGGTCTTATTTCATTTTTAGGGCCCATGAAAAAATGTTACTTTATCATCCCCGGCGGCATTACTTTTTCTGCTCACATAAAAAAATTAAAATGTAAATTTTCCCCATCAAATGTGCACCTCATGCACAAAAACACTCTCCCTATACTAGGAGTGCCTCTCACTGCAATTTATGTTACTACTAGCTTTGCTCATGGCACGTTCCATGTTTTAGTGTATGTAATGACGGTCCGGAGGGCATCGTTGGTTAAATTCAATGTGTTTTTGTATGAGCAAAAAATACGCCCTACTGAATCACTTCTTGTAGGTGACAATGATGGTAAACTAATATTTTTT